TTGGTTATTTAGTAGCATGTTGTTTAGCCTCCACATGTTTTTTTTTTCTAGTTTTTTTTTCTTGTAATTGATTTCTAGTTTTTTTTCTTGTAATTGATTTCTAGTTTCATATCATTGTGGACAGAAAAGATGCTTGACATGATTTCAGTCTTCTTAAATTCATTAAGACTTGTTTTCTGAACTAACATGTTAGACATTATCTATCCTGGAAAGCATTCCATGTACACTTGAGAAGAATGTATATTCTGCTGATTTGAGGTGGAGTGTTCAATATACATACATGAACATATATATATATATATATGTTCATGTATGTATCTAAACTCCATCTGCTCTGTTAGTATTTACTTTATGTATTTTGGTGCTCCTATGTTGGATGCATATTTACAATTGTTATATCCTCTTGTTCAACTGATCCCTTTACCATTATATAATGCCCTTTTTTGTCACTTGTTTTGAAGTCTATTTTGTCTAATATAAGTATTGCTACTCCTGCTTTTTCTTCACTTTTATTTACATGGAATATCTTTTCTATCCCTTCACTTTCAATCTTTATTTGCCTTTAGGTCTGAAGTGAGTCTCTTATAAGAAGCATATAAATGGGCCTTGTTCTTTTATCCATTCAGCTAACCTATGTCTTTTGATTGGAGCATTTAGTCCATTTACATTTTAAGTAATTATTGATAGGTATGTACTTATTGCCATTTTGTTAATTTTTTTCTGATCATTTTTGTAGTTCTCCCTTTCTTCTTCTCTTCTTCTCTCCCCTTGTGATTTGATGACTTTGTTCCATGTTATGCTGGATTCCTTTTTCTTTGGATTTTTTTTATCTATTAAAGGATTTTGGTTTATAATCTCCATAAGGTTCATATATAGCATCATATATGTATAATATTTATATACATATATATTTATACATAAAACTATGTTACATTGATGGTTGCTTAAGTTTGAACACATTCTAACAGTATTACTTTTTTATTATTACTCCTCCCTCAACACTATATATATATGTCATAATTTACATATTAATTTTGTGTACTCAACTAATTTTTTATATAAGTCCTTTGATTTAGCTACTTTTGTTTTGAACTTCTTACTCAGTAAGTGATTTATCTGCTGCCTTTATTGTAGGTTTGTTTTCATTCATAAAAATATCTTTTCCATTTAAGGAAGTCCCTTTAACATATCTTTTAAGGCCAGTTTAGTGGTGAAGAATTTTTCTTTAACATTTGTTTATCTGCAAAATTTTTCTCTCTCCTTTAATTCTGAATTATAACCTTGCTGGATAGAATATGCTTAGTTGTAGATTTCTTCCTTTCAGCACTTAGAGTATTATAGGCCACTCCCTTCTGACCTGTAAAGTTTCTGCTAAGATATCTTCTGATAGCCTTTTTGGGGGTCTTCCTTGTTGGTAACTGCCTTTCTCTTGCTGATTTTAAGATTCTCTCTTTCTCTCTAATCTTTGCCTTTTTAATTACTATATGTCTTGGTGTGGACCTCCTTGGGTTCATCTTACTGGGAATTCTCTACACTTCCAGGACTTGAATGTTTCCTTCCCTAGGCTGGAGAAGTTTTAAGCCATTATTTCTTCAAATAGGCTTTCTGCTCATTTCTCTCTTTTTTCTTCCTGGAATCCTAATTAAATGTTGTTTTGATTGAGTTCTCACAGATATCTCTAGCATTTTCTCATTTTAGAAATTATTCTATTTCTCAGCTTGGTTATTTTCCACTATCCTGTCTTCTAGATTGCTGATCCATTCTTCTGTATACTCTAATCTGTTATTCATTCCCTCTATGGTATTTTTTCATTTCAGTTGCTGAATTTTTTCAGCTCTGACTGGTCGTTTTGTATATTCTCTCTCTTCGTAGAAGTCCTCCCTGAGTTTATCTATTCTTTCCCCAGTCCACTGAGCATCTTTATGACCATTACTTGGAATTCTTTATCAAGTAGACTGCTTATCTCCATTTCATTTAGCACTTTTTCTGGTGTTTGGTCTTATTCTTTTGTTTGGAACATAGCCCTGTGCCTTTTCATTTTGTCTGGATCTCTGTGATTGTTTCTATGTATTGGATAGATCAGCTAGGTCTCCTGAATTTGAAAGTAGTGGCTTTAGTAGTAGTAATCATCCTTTGATTCCCAGATGTATAAAACCCCTTGCTTACCAGTTCCAGGTGATCTAAGGATAACCCTGTGTGGGTTGTGTGCATCATTCTATTGTGGCTGAGCCACAGTTGCTATTCTGAGTTGTGAGTTTGACCTAGTCAGCCTGGCTGCCAGCATTGGCCCAATTCAACTACTGCTGGGCTGGACTTGTTGGGTGGGACAAGTCTGTAAGGCAATGCCAGGGAGAGAAAGTGGGGTAAATGGAGAGTTTCAGAACTAGCTACCAGAAGCATTGATCCTGCCTAGGGGAAGGAAGAGCTGCAAAAGTGGTGTGTGTCAGCACTTTCTTCCCTAGAAAGAGCTCTTTCAGACTCTTGTCCCACCGAGACACTTCCCAAAGTTAATAAATCTCCTTCAAACTGCTGCTTCTTTTGGGTTTCAGAGTGTTCCATATAACATGTTGGTCCTCCACAGCACAGACTTGGCATCCCACAACCTTACAGTTCTCCCTGGCCTTTAGCTCTGCTAATTTTTAAAGCCCAGTGCTATAGGGACTTGTTCCAGAGCAGATCCCCAGGGTGGGGTGTGCACAGTTCCTGGATGTTATCTCTTCCCACCTCCATTCTTCACTCACTCTATCCTGGATTGGGATGGGATAGGGGAAGAGCTTATAGCCTTATAGTGACCTCCTATTCTACCATCTTCCTAGAATCCCCTCAGCCTAGATTATAACTAAGTACTTTTGGAATGAAGAAGAGGGTGCTGTCAAATGACAACTAAGGATCAGAGGATTACTGAACATCCAGAGAGTTGATTAAATGAGGAGAAATAAACCCTCAGTAGAAAGGAAGTACTGGGAAAAAATTTAGTTCTTAGATGGTGGAAACGTGAGATATTTATGATGAGATGTTTGAATGAATGGACAGATGTTGATAAGAATGATATTAAAGTGATTACATTATTATTGGGTCCAAGAATTTGGACATTTTTCTTTTCAGAGCCTCAAATTATCCATGTCAAATTTAAGGAGACAAACTGAAACTGCAGGATAACTTTCTCAACTGGCTTTTAAAATCACTTTGTAAATTACTGAATCTTTACATGTAAGAAAAAGCAATAAATCCTTATTCTTGGAGGTTTTCTACTAACATTCAAACTTTGGTTAATGAGTATGGGTTCTCTCATTGTTCTGTAGAAATGACCAAGAACAAGAGGAGTTTACTTCTCCTCAAACCCTTGTTAGTGCTGCATTCAGCAACTCTAAGATTACCAATTATAATCTAGGGAGATATGGGAGAACTACAAAGAAAAGTCTTAAATCTTACCTTGAAAGAACATGCCTCAGTTTAAAGCAGGGATATAAAAAGGGAAGGCAATAACTTATTATGGATTCCTTTTGTACTTTCTTTCAATGGATCATGTGGTGAGATTGGTTCAGAATTCTTTTTTCTTTTCCTCTAAAGTAGGAGCTGAGAATTAATTTAAGAACTGTCTTGAAGTAATGGGATTATATGGGTCCTTATTTTGTGTTCAACAGATTGGACAATATACAACAATTATATTTTTTATCAAATGTATTGTGTAAAAAAACTAGATTAATATTTATTTCAATTGATTTTTTAAATATTTTCCCTTAATTTTCATTGGCTCTAGACTTTTTGTTTTATCATAGAATAATCAGGAAAGGGCCAAGGGAAAATACTGCATTTGAATCCTCTAATCTAGCTAGTACAATGATTTATAGTAAAATAAGACTTGTCTTATAATTTATACTTAATTATATTGTTTTATAATTAATAAAATCTTTTTATTAATTGAATGGATTACCTTAATATACTTCCTTTCTTTTTGGAGGAAACATTTAGATCCAACAGCTAGAGGCAATATGATGCAATTTGAACACTAGAAACATGAGATTTTAAAGTACCAGTGACCTGAACTCAAATCCCTATTCAACTGTCCTATGACTATTGCTTAGAGAAAAAAAAAATCCCTAAATTAATCAGAGCAATAATTTCCTTATATCTAAATAACACTAATATTCACCTCATAAAGATATGAAAGCATTAAAAGAAATAGTGCATTTAACACAATTTTAAGATAAGTTTATAAACTGGCTCTGAAGTCTAGGAATTAATTAAGGGTTATAACTTCTATTATTCAAATTAGACTTTTGTTTACTTCATCTAGAACTCTTCCACTTATAGAAATCAAGCAAGAATTTACTGAATTTTGCATCTATTCCACTTTTAGGAGCACCATGATTCACTAGTTGACACCATAGGTCTCTGAGAGTCAGAATATTCTGATCACCGCTTTGACTCTGTTGTTCATTATGATATGCCTACCCACCTTCTTTGGTAATTGAGTGCAGCTCCACCTGCAGCTGGGATGCAATCATCTCATTGCATTTAGGTTTCCCAGTTCAGTGACAGCAGTTCCACTGTAATTTCTGACCTACCAAGATGAGTTATTACAAAGCTCTTAAAGAATGGTATGCTGAGAACAAAACAGATTAATATTATGAACATTTTATTATCATCATACGAATTATAGTAAGAGTTCTTAATGAAACATGTATTTACCCAAAATAGGAATGAATGTAATTATGTAATTGTACAATGTAGAATACATAGTATGACACTTCCTTGAAGTTCTTATTAAAAATTCTGATTCTGGAGCTTCAACTTAACTGTTCTAAAACATAGCTGTGCAAATTAGTCTCCAGAATAAGCATTTTTAGCAAGTTGTCCATTTTACAGCTATGCATGCTAAATTTTGAGAATACTTTTATAAAATATTCTACTTTCATAATCTAATTGCTTGGGGCAGTATTTCTTGATTCCTACTATCCTCAGTTGTAACACTTGCATGTTTTTTTTTTCCATTCCAGAATTGATCAAGACAAGAAGAAATTGAGATTGAATCACTCTATGAGAGAGGTAAGACAACGTCAACTAAAAATATGTAATATATATATGCATATACATATATCCTATTCTCTAAAAGACCCTTTGGGACTTTTCCTCAGTCACCCTCTAAACTCCACTCATTCTAAGTATTCAGCACTTCCTCTGGTTTTAGGAATACCTTAAGGTGTGGCATGAGCTTTGAACTATGCCAGAAACACTTTGCCTCCTGTTTACTGGCCAACTCGTATTAATTTTTCAGATTGCATTTGAAACATTCCTTTTATTTATAGTGAGGCTTTCTTTGACCTTCCAGCCTGATGCCCCAATTAATTAATTAGTTCTAATATTGATTAGAAGTAATTGATCTAATAACTATTTTACTTCCCTTTTGTCATTTTCTCTTCATTGTAGGTACAGACTTTAATGTCAGTCTTCTTTTGTAGACTACAAAAATTCCTTGAATGCAAGAATTAAGCCTACTTTCTGACCTCTCTTTTTCTAGTTTTTGACAGAGTGATTGGCACAAAGAATAAGTTTGCAACTAATAATCAAATACATAAATGATATTGTGATGGCTTCCCTGATCTCCCTCATAAAAATGAAGAAACTGAGGCTTAGAAAACTTAAATATAAATCTCATGGTCACATTCCTGGAAAGCAAGTTAGAATTCAAATTCAGGAAAGCCTGAACTCTAACCCTATGCTTTTGATATTTTAAAAACAGACAAAAATTACATAACACATTAGGGTTTAGAAAATATACCTCCTCTGAAAGTTGTAAAATTAAATCATCTGGTTTTGGTTATAAATGGCTTTCTTTTTTAAATTAAATTTATTGAGATTTATTTTATTTATTTATTTATTTATTTATTTATTTTAAATAAACTTTACCAATTTATATTATACAATTTGGTGTTTTCCAAGTGTATTCAATCATTTTCCAACCAGAGTAAACATTCAAAACATTTCCAAACCCAAAAAGTTCCCAGATGCCCATTTGTAGTCAGTCCTCTCCACCCATACTGGCCCCTGGCTAATACTGATCTTTTTTCTATCACTAGAGTTTCTTGTTTTCTAGAATGTCATATAAATGGAGTAATACATTATGTGATTTTTTTGTGCTCAGTTTTTTTTTCACAGTATTTTAAAAGATTCATCCAGATTGCAGCTAGTTTATCCTTTTCATTGTTGGAGAGTATTCCATTCATATGGATATACCACATTTCGTTTATATATTCATCTGTTCTAGACATATGGGTTGTTTCAAGGTTTGAGCAATTTTGAATAAAACTGCTCTAAATATAAATATTTATGAGCAAGCTATTATGTAGATACATGTTTTCATTTTGCCTTTAAAAAATACCTAGGAGCCAGGCAGAGAAAGACAAGTACCAAATGATTTCACTCATATGTGGAGTATAAGAACAAAGAAAAACTGAAGGAACAAAACAGCAGCAGAATCACAGAATCCAAGAATGGACTAACAGTTACCAAAGGGAAAGGGACTGGGGAGGATGGGTGGGAAGGGAGGAATAAGGGCAGGGTAAAAAAAGGAGACATTACGATTAGCATGTATAAGGTGGGGGGCGGCATGGGGAGGGTTGTACAACACAGAAGACAAGTAGTGATTCTACAGCATCTTACTATGCAGATGTACAGTGACTGTAATGGGATGTGTTGGGGGGACTTGGTGAAGGGGGGAGCCTAGTAAACATAATGTTCTGCATGTAATTGTAGATTAATGATAACAACAACAAAATACCTAGGAGTAGAATAGCTGGGTTATAATGGTAAGTATATGTGTAACTTTATAAGAACCTGCAAAGTTTTCCAAAAGTGATTATAAAATGTTACGCTCCTTTTAGCAAGGTGAGAGATTACTAATCATTTCACATCTCATTTTTAAGTGCAATTCTTTTTTTTGTAAGAAGAAACCAGTAAAGAGGATAGAGATTGATGATACATAAATCTGGTTCTATGTTTATCTCAGAGAAGTGGTGTGATCACAGTGGTACTCGAAAAGCTGGTTTAGTTTTGGGATTTAGGCAAGCTGCCTATAAAGAATAAAATTTTGCTCTTCTAGTCAAGCTTACCCTACCCAGTCCGTTGATTCTTCATTAAAATCTTGTTTAATTACATTTTTTGCAAAAAAAACAAAAAGGTAAATTACTCAAATGCAATGTATTATAAACTTAGAAATATTATGAATCATAAATATACCTTGAGACTTATTACTATAGTTCAATATACCAATGGAAATACAGTATTCAAAGTCTAAGTTATTTTATTAGCCTGCTAAGGCTACTGTAACAAATTACTACAAACTGAGTGACTTAGACAACAGAAATGTATTGTCTCAGGGTTCTAAAGGTTAGAAGTCTGAGATTAACGTGTCAGCAAGATGTACTTCTTCTGAGGGTTGTGAGGTATAATCTGTTTCATGTCTCCTCCACAGCTTCTTGTGGGTTGCCAACAATTTTTGGCATGCAGAAGAATCACTCCCCAATATCTTCCTTCCTCTTCCATGATGCTGTCCCCATATGCATGAATGTACCCAAATATACCCTTTTAAAGACACCAGTCATATTATAATGGGACCTAACCTAGCAACCTCATTTTAACCTTTTAACCTCTATAAAGATCCTGTATCCAAATAGTCACATTCTGAGATACTAAGGATCAAGATTCCAAAATAAGAATTTGAGGAGGGAGATACAATTCAACCAAAAACAGTTACATTAGATCCAGTGATGATTGTGTTTATTGTCACAGTGTAAAGTAATAATAATTTATAAATTCATAATAATGTAAAGTGCAAGCCTGTTTATAATTAAATTGCTTTTGACTAAACCTCACTTTTATGGATTTCTTTTTTTTTAATTAAAGTATCATCGATATACAATCTCATAAAGGTTTCACATGAACAACCTTGTGGTTTCAACATTCACCTGTATTATCAAGTCCTCACCGCCCCCCACCTTGCAGTTACTGTCTATCAGCATAGGAAGATGCTGTAGAGTCACTACTTGTCTTCTCCGTGATGTACTGCCTCCGCGTGAACTACCTGTATTGTGATTGCTAACTATAGTGCCACTCAATTCCCTTCTCCCACCCTCCCCAACTACCCTCCCCAACCCCTTCCCTTTCGTAACCACTAGTCCCTTCTTTGAGTCTGTGAGTCTGCTGCTGTTTTGTTCCTTCAGTTTTGCTTTGTTGTTATACTCCAAAAATGAGTGATATCGTTTGGTACTTGTCTTTCTCCACCTGGCTTATTTCACTGAGCATAAGACCCTCTAGCTCCATCCATGTTGCTGCAAATGGTAGAATTTGTTTTCTTCTTATGGCTGAATAATATTCCATTGTGTATATGTACCACTTCTTCTTTATCCATTCATCTACTGATGAACACTTAGGTTGCTTCCATTTCTTGGCTATTGTAAATAGTGCTGCAGTAAACATAGGGGTGCATATGTCTTTTTCAAAATGGGCTCCTGGATTTTTAGGGTAAATTCCTAGGAGTGGAATTCCTGGGTCAAATTATATTTCTATTTTTAGTTTGTTGATGAACCTCCATATTGCTTTCCACAATTGTTAAACTAATTTATACTCCCACCTACAGTGTAGGAGGGTTTCCCTTTCTCCGCATTCTCGCCATCATTTGTTGTTGTTTGTCTTTTGGATGTTGGCCATCCTAACTGGTGTGAGGTGATATCTCGTGGTTTTAATTTACATTTCCCTGATAATTAGCCATGTGGAGCATCTTTTCGTGTGCCTGTTGGCCATCTGAATTTGTTCTTTGGAGAAGTGCCTGTTCATATCATCTGCTCATTTTTTAATCAGGTTATTTGTTTTCTAGGTGTTGAGGTGTTTAAGTTCTTTATATATTTTGGGTATTAACCCCTTATTGGATAAGTTGTTTAAGAATATATACTCCTATATTATAGTATGCCTTATATGGTCTGCTGATGGTGTCCTTTGCTCTACAGAAGTTTTTAGTTTGATGTAGTCCCATTTGTTCATTTTTGCTTTGTTCCCTTGCCAAAAGAGATGTGTTCAGGAAAAAGTTGCTGATGTTTATACTCAAGAGATTTTTACCTACATGGTCGTCTATGACTTTATGGTTTTATGAAATACATATGCGTCTTTGATTTATTTCAAGTTTACTTTTGTTTTTGGAGTTAACCGATACTCCATTTTCATTCTCTCACATATAGCTGTCCAGTTTTGCCAACACTATTTGTTGAAAAGGCTCTATTTTTCCCACTGTATATCCAGGGCTCCTTTATCATATATTAATTGGCCATATATGTGTGGGTTTATATCTGGGCTCCCTATTATGTGCCATCTGTGGGTCTGTTCTTATGGCAGTACCAAATTGTTTTGGTTACTGAGGTTTTGTAGTAGAGCCTGAAGTCAGGGAGTATAATCCCCTCAGCTTTGTTCTTCCATCTCAGGATTGCTTTGGCTATTCAGGGCCTTCTATGGCTCCATATGAATTTTACAACTGTTTGTTCTAGTTTGTTGAAGAATGCTGTCAGTATTTTGATAGGGATTGCATTAAATCTGTAGATTGCTTTAGGCAGGATGGCCATTTTGACAGTATTAATTTTTCTTATCCATGAGCATGGGATGTATTTCCATTTATTGGTGCCTTCTTTAATTTCTCTAATGAGTGTCTTGTAATTTTCAGGACATAGATCTTCAATCTCCTTGGTTAGGTTTATTCAAGGTATTTTATTATTTCTGATGCATTGTAAATGGTGTTTTTTTCCTGATTTCTCTTTCTGCTCATTCAAATGCAACAGATTTCTGTGTATTAATTTTGTATCTTACAACTTTTCTGAATGCAGGTATTGGTTCTAGTGTTTTTTTTTTTGGTGGTGGATTCTTTAGAGTTTTCTATGTACAATATGTCATCTACAAACAGTTGACAGTTTAACTTCCTCCCTACCGATTTGGATGCCCTTCATTTCTTTGTGTTGTCTGATTAGCATAGCTAGGACCTCCAGTATTATGCTGAATAAAAGTGG